TCTTGATTCTCTCCACATCTGACCCACTCTGGCTTAAAGATGTGGATTCCAGCACTGGTGTAGAATCCCTTGGTGGTGACTGGATGGCAGAAGCTGTAATTCGTTGTGGAACATCCTTTGCCTTATCACTGGTCTCTGGCCTGTTCAGGAGATGTGGGAATATATGTTGCTGTCTCTGGGAAAAAGGAATAACCTTGGCCTCTACTTTGTCTTCACTCTTAACAGGTGGAGGTTTGTCCACTTTGGCGTCAAATGTTGGCTTAGGAACAGGCTTAGCAAGAGCTTTAGATTCAATTACAGGCATAACAGCTTGAGCAAGTAAGTGAGATGTAGGTCCACTTGGCTTGGGGATAGCTATGCCTCTGTCGCTGGCATTCACAGGCTTGGCTTTTATTTGTGTGACATTGATTCTTACTGGTTCTTTCATTGGCAAACTTGGTGCAGGGATTTCCTGCTGATTCTGCTTTGGTGATGGACACTTTGGTGATTCTTGCTTACTCACCTTGACCTCTGTAGGCTGAATTGTGGCCTGTTCACTCTTGACTGGTGTCTCTCTCTTGATCAAGACCTTACGAACAGGGGAAATAATAGTGGTTACTGCAACTGCTTCTTTTTTCTCAGGTGTTGTACTGACTTCTGGCTGGGGAGCCACCTCCTTTACATCACTAATTGGCCACTTGACAGGTGATTCTCTGGCCTCCCTGGGAAGCATTATTCTCTTTTGAGGGCTTGGGGCAGTATCACTGTCAGACTCTGTCTTGTCACCCTCTCCTTCCTTCGCATCCTTTCTTGGTCGACCCTTCTTCTTGACCTTGGTATCTGCCTCAGCTTCATCTGATGCTAAGGCCCCCATGCTTGCCTTCGTTCGTGTGTCTTTCCTAGCACGAATTTCCCCAAAATCAAAAGGCTCTGGCTCTTTGAATTCATATACATCATCCTCCAAAGACTCAGGTTTTGGAGAGAGTAGTTTCATGGGGTCCTGGGTAATGTTCTTCCCTGGAGATTCAGGGATTGCTTTTTTAGGAGTTATCTCTAGGACTTTCTTGGCTTGCAACTCAGGAGTCTTTTTCTCAGGTGTGGTGAAGGATGTCTGCATCACTGGGGATAGTATTCTAGGAGCTGTGTCCTTCACAACAACACGGTCCTCTTCCTTCTTTATTGGTTTATCCAAACCCTTCATTTCAGATATAATGGCATTCAGATCAATATCCTTCCCACATGGCTCCTGCTCCACCTTCTCTTCCTTTACTTCTATCACTTGCACCTTTGCTGGTGTCTCTTTTACAGTCTTCTCAGACACTGTACTTACAGTAGCAGAAGGTTCAGATACAGGAGTAGATACAGCAGATACAGAGGCCGTGGCTGGAGCTTTTTCTGTACTTGATCTGGTGCGGGACTTTTCAGAGCCAGTGTCAGCATCAGATTCATACTCCTCACTATCACTTTCTGTCGTATCTGGAATAATAGATTCCCTTACCTAATACACTCAGATTTGAAAAATGAAGTGCTGAACCACTTTATATACTTTTCTACATATATAAATTCTTGTGCAATACATACAACAGATATAACCATTTATATCTCAGACTACACATACTATTTATCGTGACACCCAAAATTAGTATTCTGGAATGTGTGCAATGACCTAAAACTGCTTCAATGAAGTAGATGTATTCAAGAAAGAAAGCAGTTCAAAATCTATTCATGGAAGGAAAGGTCTTTAAACACTAAAGTACATCCATCTCATTGGTACTGATATCTTCAAAGTCATAATTTGCATACAATATTCTCCAACATCCCTAGGTGAGTACATACCAAGTGTGCTTCCTCCTCCTCCTATTCCTCCTCCAATGCGGCGTGGCCGCCTCTGCTCACTGGGTGAAGGACTGTCTGGTTGCTGCACCTGCCTCTCACGCGCTGCTCTTGTGCTAGGGCCTGAGACACTGCTTGTGCCACTAGTGTCACTCCGCTCACTACGATCACTTTCACGCCGCTCTCGCATTCCACCTGGGGGGCGACCACGCTTGGTAGCACTTGTCTTTGGTGAGGAGGCTGTTGAGACCTTTGAAGGAGAATAGGAAAAAAAGTCAAGGAAAGTGTAGTAAAAAAAAAAATCACATTTTCAAATTTGCAGTGGATATCAACTTTCCATTGGCAAAATGAAGATAAAGACTTAAAAGAATGCCAAGTAACATGGACAGATTTACAACTTTCACCTGTTCCTTTTCTTCCTTTTTGGCTTCCTTTGTGTCCTTGGTGTCTTTGACTTCCTTTTCCTTCTCTTTCTTCTCTTTCAACTCCTTAGTTGCTGCAGCTCTGCCCTTCCTAACCCTATTCTGTGACCATGTGAGATTCTCTGCAATGCAAGGCCTTCGTATCCACTCATCATACCTGTTGTTCCATCCAAGGTAATGAACGTAGTACATAGGCGCATTTCCTTCCTCTTCAACTTCTAGCACCTGCTCGATTAGCACATATAAAATTAGTAATACATAGTAATATTAGGAAAAATACTCAGAAATACCTTGACACACATACCTAAATAAAGATAAAGAATACATATAACATCAATATTACCAACCAAAAAAAAAAAAAAAAAAAAGAAAAGAAAAAGAAAAGGAAAAATATTCCCTTTCCTGACCTTCGCTTCATAGGTCACTTTTGATTCTTTGGCATTGGGTCCATATAGCACACGCAACTTGTCTCCAACATTGACGGGGACATGAGCTGGGAGAAGGGCCTTGCCCCTGGAGGGGAGAGAGTTTGCTCGGTCAATCCTGCAGCCAAAGTTGACTTCACAGGCTGTCACAAACTTATGCAAGGAGGGAAGAGGATAAGGAGAGAAAAAACAGAGGAATGAGAAAGATAGAGAGGTAGAAAAAATAGGAAAGCGAGAGGGAAGGTATATAGTAAAAGGGAAGGAGAATGACCACAAAAATTACAAACATGAGAGACAGATAAGAGACCAAATTAGGGAGAGTATAAAATGAGATATCAAGAAAGTAGGAACACAGAGTAAAACATGAGAGGAAGGTTTGGGAGTTGTATCTATACCAACTATAGGTCAATATATTGGCCAATTTTACAAAAACAAAGCAAAAAAGGGATTGGCCAACTCACATCGGTGTCTCCACTTCTCCCTCATTCTTCTTCTTGCGCCCTCTTTTCTTGGCCCCAGGAGAGTCTTCAGCTGTGATTGGTGCTGCTGCTGAAACTGCCACTGCCTTCTGGCCTTTGCTCTTGCTTTTGTTTGCTTTTTTCTCACTGGCAGGGCTTGCTGCTACAGAGGCCCCCGAGTGTGTTGAACTAACTGGGGTTGGCGTAGTTGAGGATGAAGAAGCTGTTTCATCATCACCCTCTGTGTCATCCTCAGCCTTCACACAGATGACAGCCATGGCTGCTCTCTCGTTCTTGGTTTTACGTGTTGGCGTGGCTGTCTTTTTGGTTGATTCATCCTTCTCACGGCTCTCCTCACGATGCCTGGAGGATCTTGTTTGAGCCTGCAAAGAGAATATATACTGCACATTATCCTATATTATCCTATCTATATTGGCCTCCTCGTATATCTAGAAGTAAATGACATGATTTCTTCAGCCAAACCCATATTATGCCCATACCCCTATTACCCTTGCAGGCCCTCCCCACTCTGAGCCAGCCATACAATTGTGTACCCAACCTCTCTTTTCTTATGAATGAAATGCAGGCGAGTGTGAAGTAGAAATTCTGGCAAATATGCACATTTCACAAAATAAAATTATCTTTTCCTGTCCCCTATTCCCCCTCCACACACAAAAATGCATATAATATTGTCACTTCATAGTAAACTACCTTTTTTCTATCTATACATTTAAATACAGATTTTTCTGTTTTATATGATAGAAATGTTTATGTTACTTGTGTCTGTTTTATTTGCAATCATAATTAATTTTTAAGCAAGGGAGAGAAAGCCAGGTTTAAAGAGCTGAATTCAATTGCGACTCCTCACACTTTTCCTGAAACACTATTTAGTTGCAAGGCTGCAAAACTTCTTGGGTAGATGTAAAAACTACCTTACATACTAATTTCAATTATAACTTTTAGACCTTGGATCCGGGTGATGTGACCACCACATCATGAACAAATTTAGCTGTGGGACGGGAGACATGAATATAAAATTGTGAAAAAATCTGGCCGAGGGCCTTAGTGTTGGGAACACGTCACCATGAGAATTTCGTTTGAAGACCCAGGTGATGGGAGAGATGCACCAAGAGTGCATAAAGCTCTTAGCTGCTTATTAGACTTGCATTATTTCCATAAATCAATGAGTGTAAACTGTGTCATCTATAAGCCATGACTGGCATAGCATAAGTTCCAGAGAGGACACTATTTCCATGCTCAGGATCCTATTCCTGCCTGCCTTGACTGATTATGAAAATATAAAAAATTATGTAAGTAGCAAAATTGCAGAGTTATAGACTACTTACAGAGATGATATGGAGTCTGTGCAAAGAAAACATGTTATTACCATAATGATACAGCATAACAAATAACAAATACAGACCATGGAAAATGGAGAAAAAGGCTTAAGCATAAAAAGAGATAATAACACTGCAAACAGGAGGAGAGGTGTCTTGGGGTCACAAGTGTTCCTGTGCCTAGCCTACATGCCACACACCCAGTAGAGTTCTAATCAAGTAAGGCTATTGCCCAGATTTTGGGCCATGTGCAGGCAGTGAAGCACCCAGATCCAATAAACTAAATTCATCGTATGATGCCACTGATGCCAAAAAAAGTAAGAAAATTATATATTTCTTGGAACTGACCATCATATTTCATAAAGATGAGTGAAAAAGCAACATGCATTTATTTTCTCAGATGTAAATATCGCTTCTGATTTTTTTTCCTGCCCCTGTACAGATCTTAATTCCCTTGGAGAACTGTGTATAGCTTTTTCAATTTTAAGATTCCTCAACACCTAAACATCCACACACATACCATTTCAATCTCTTCTTCTTCGCTGT